CCTTTTGGAATGTTGGTTAATGACATCAGCAGCTGCTGAAAATAGAACTTGTTATTGCTGCTGTCGTGTTCGTTGATAGCTTCCACTTTGAAACTACTGGATTTTAGTTGAATATATTTCTTTGCTCTTTTTGTCAATACCCCAAAAGAAGCAGCTGCTAATGGTGCTTTAAGCCAAGATGACTTTCCAGCAATTGGTTCTGCAGTAGGACCTCTACAAGGGTAAGTTTGTTCAAGACTGCAGCAATGAGAAAGCTGATTTAGAAACTTACTTGGGTTGTGTGTTTCTGGAAGAATTGGTTTTATAGATCTCTTGAACTGTAGGTGCTCCCCTCTCTCAGTTCCTCTTCTGCTTTGACCTGTTTCTGTGTCAGCTGCTGCATGAACAGCACAGGCTGTTGCTTCAGTTTGCAGCTTGATTTTTATTTTATTTTATTTTATTTTTGTAGTACAGTTCCAGGGAACTTTTCAGTATTCCTGACTCCACTCATTTTTAACTCACTAGCTTATCTTGAGGGAGCCATATGCTCTTGGGGTTTTTAAATTCATCATCTCGTTAAATGGGTGGTAACTATAAATAGAGTCTTTGCAGGATGTGGACACTAGGATGTACTAGAAGCCTGCATGTATGGCTTGCTGGTCAAGGTAAGGTGTGCTAAGACAGCACAGATAAGACAGCAAGGCTAGTGAGACTGCTTTGAAGAGACTCATCCAGACACGGTTTACGTATCTGCATCCTGTTAATGGCTGTGGCAGCTGTGCCACTTTAAGTGATGGATTGAAGAAGAATGCAGTCAGGCCCGGAGCCTCTTTTACCTGGTGGAGTTTGGGGAGTTTTGCTGTCTGTGCAGAGGTGGTGTAACTGGGTGCACTTTTCCTTTCTCGCAGCTCTGCTCAGCTAGCAGCAGTTAAGCTTAAAGAAGATTTCCCAAGCTTGTCATCCTCCGCAGCACCCGCTGTCTCTTCTGGGATGTCTTTGACGTACACAGCGACTGCAAAGAAAACAGCTTTTCAAGAGGAGGATTTTCCAGCTCTGGTGTCCAAAATGAGGCCTAACAATAAAACAGTAACTAACATCACATCTGCGTGGAACAGTGGTTCCAGTAAAAATGTGGTCAAAGCCATTAGCAACCCTTGCGTAAATCAGATAGCCAAAAAATCATACTCCTTGAATAGCACTAAAGGAAATAAGAAGAGCAATAAACTCTCTCAGTCAGATGATGAAGACAGCAGTAGTGGCTTGACAACCCAGGAGATAAGGAACACACCGACAATGTTTGATGTATCGTCCTTGCTGGCAGCTTCTACCTCACAGACTTTCACAAAAGTGAGCAAGAAAAAGAGGATGGGGGTTGAGAAGCAGAGACCATCATCCCCACACCTGTTACAGGAGACCTCATTGCCCAGGTCCTGTATTGAAAAGCTGCCAGAAGCAGAGCGGACATCAAACGCTGCTTCTGCTCTTCACGCCTCTGACAGATCTGCAGCTGTCATGAATGGTCATTCAGAAAAATCATTAGCACTCTGTAGTACACCCAAAGAGCCCCCTGGCCTTAAAAAGCCCACAGTGACGAACCAATGCCCTTTACCTCAGGAAGATTTCCCAGCTCTTGGGAGCTCAGGATCAGCTCGAATGCCACCGCCACCGGGTAAGCACTTCAGGGCACTGACAGCTTCTGGGCTGCAGTTACAAGGCAGCCTGAGTAACAGTGTCTTGAAAGTCCTCTCTCTTTGTAAAGTCATATCAGGTGCTGTGAAGCACTTCCTGACCCAAACGTTAAGGCAACAGATTTCCACCTCTTTAATATTTAGGTTTCTTCTGAAATAGTGATGACTGCACTGTTGACTGTTACTTCTTGATGCTTCTGGAGAGTACGTCAGACTGTTGGTGTTAATTTTACTTGCTGGTATGTGGGTGCCACAGATATGTGCTCTGACTTCCTGCCCATTTCTGCTTTCATTTAGGCTTTAACACTGTGGTGCTATTAAAGAGTCCTCCTCCGCCTCCAGGACTGTCAGTGCCTGTTAGTAAACCCCCACCAGGTTTTGCTGTTATTCCATCCACCAGTATCTCTGAACCTGTCACTACATCTTTGAAAGAGTAAGTAAAAGTCCTTTTGTTAGAGTTACTTTACACATTGCATCTCGAGATATGCCATAGAAGCTTCAGACAGAGCACAGAACACTGATAGGATTACTGTATCCATGTGCTGCTGGCAGAAATTGCACGTGTAGTTGGGTGGAGAAAGGGAGAAAAGAATAATCATGTAATGTGTGTCTGCAGCATATTTCTGTAATATGAGGCAGTATCCAATTGCATTACTTTTTTTCCCCCCAAATGCAGGCCAAAATCCAGCCAAGGGACATACTTGATACCTGAAAACTTTCAGCAAAGGAACATTCAGCTAATACAATCCATTAAAGAATTCCTCCAAAGTGATGAGTCCAAGTTCAATAAATTTAAAACTCATTCTGGGCAATTCAGACAGGTGAGTGGGCAAAAACCTTTGCCTTCCTGAAATCCTCCCCAGCTCAGTTCACGTAGTGCCTCTGTTTGTGGTTGGTGAGTGGACTAGATGCAGGTTTTCTTTTTGAACTGCGTGCTCCACTGTAGCTCTTCTGTAGCACAGCAAAGTGCACGTAGTGTGGCCTGGAAGAACGTGAATCTTTTTATAGATGCATCAGATTATTATTTTTGAAGTTTCTAATTATTGCAATTTTCTTTTCACTGAAGGGTCTGATTTCTGCTGCAGAGTATTACAAAAGTTGCCGAGAACTGCTTGGAGATAATTTCAGGAAAATTTTTAACGAGTTGCTGGTGTTGTTACCAGACACAGTTAAGCAACAAGAACTGCTTTCTGCTCACAATGATTTCAGAATCAAGGAAAAGCAAAGTTCAAACAAATCCAAAAAGAACAAGAAGAATGTTTGGCAAACGGACTCCAACTCTGATCTCGACTGCTGCATCTGCCCAACGTGTAAGCAAGTGCTAACGCAGCAGGACATTGTCACTCATAAAGCTTTGCATATTGAGGATGAGGAGTTCCCTTCCTTACAAGCAATCAGTAGAATCATCAGTTAGCTCTTATGAAGACCAATAAAACAGTTTCTATCTATGAATATGCACTTTTTGGAATGAGGTTTGACAGCGTAGTGTGGTTGAGAGCTGGTGCCAGTTGAGTACTGATACACAGGGAACTGTTAGAGAGCCCTCAGTGCTGTTCATAAATACTGTGCAAAGGGATCACTGGACTGCGCCGTAGCTAATTAACATCCAAAGTCTGAGCTTCCAAAATGCCTGAGTAGAGTTAGGCCAAAATTGCAGGGTGGGCAGGCAGGGGGCCACCTTTCTCCTGTAACATGCAATAGCTGAGAAAATACTTTCTGATCTGAAGTCTGACTGGGGACACAATAGGGGAATATGCATCTGGCTTGGGGGGTTTTCTTTCTTTAGGGAAGGGTGGGAGCAGAGGGGGGAGATATTGAATCACTGAAGTGAATAGAAGCAGAAGTGAGTTCCCTTATATTCTGATTTTTGTGCTGTTTCTGTGACCGCAGAAATGGAAGCAGTCAGGGGTGCAGAGATGCAGAACTGCTCCTACTCGCTGGTGAAAAGGGCCGTTCAGTTGTGTGTCTGTAAACGTTGGGCTGCTCGTATAGCTAAGAATATTCCTGTCTGAAAACTGAATTAATTCTACTACTTGAAGAATTGGACTGATCTGTGTGATGAGTTGAACCTGAGGTTTGAAGTTGCCTCTGACCTTTTATGTAACATGTTCTTTAAAGAAACTTCTTTTGTAGCACTGCATGTAGAAGGATGATGTTCAGGCTTTACTTTCTGTAAAGCACACTTCACGGTGATTTTATTTAATGATTGCCACGTTTCTATTTCTTGGCTGTATTAATGGTGGTAGCTCCAACCAACGGCATATTGGGATATTAAATGCTGCTGATCACTGACCATGTTTATCTGCAGTGCCTTCAAGTGCATTTATCTGTTTACAGTGGTCTGCACTAACGCGGATAATTTGTTCAGGCTATGGAGTGTTTACATCCTGTATCTCCCTTGGTGATGTTGGTCTGCAGTAGCTTTGCTCACATTGCTTGCCATCTGTAACTTCCACCTCTAGGAAAACAGGAGCCGAATCTGTTCATCATTTGAAATAACTTCTCCAGCAGCAGCTATGACGTGACGGAGTGACACGTGCTCCCTGTAGTGCACTTCCATGGCTATAATTAAGCGTCTGATTCTTGCCCACCTTTGCAGACCAGGTTTAGTTATTTTTAACATGTTGAGATTAATTTATGTAATTTTTAAGTGACAGAACACTGCTTTTATATAAGCGTTTCTATGAAATTGAGCTCAGTCTATTACTGAAGAGCTAGTCCTGGCTACAGCATTTCTTCCTTGCCTTATACTTGTTAATTTTGCTTGCTGTCAGGCTGCAAAGTGCTTTCGGTTTCTTTTTCCAAATAATTCAGACTGTTTTGAATTCCTGGATGTGTTGTATTCAGCACAGGGGCCAGACTGCATGCCCTGAAAGAGGGAGGGAGGAGCATTAGGCTGCACGGCTGTTGACAGAATGCATGAATACGTGGCGACCCGTAAGGCTGCCGTGTTCGCGGCGCCAGGCGCTGCCTCGAGCAGAGCCAGGTGCCACCACACACCGGTGCTCCAGCTTGGATGCCAGCTGCCCAAGTCAGCAACAGATCTGCATCCTCAGTTCTTTCCCCTGACTGCCCCTTGGGTTTGAAAAGCTCAGAGGAAACAAAGCACGTATCTTCTGCAGGAGTTTCTGACGTCTTCCCTTTATTTTTCAGTTTATTTTCTTCTGTGTTAGCAAATACGTCAGTTCCCAGCCGGCAGGTTGAGAACTCAGGGTGCTGCTCTCAGTTTCCTCGAGGTGCTTGGTTCTCCTTGGCCTGACGATGCAGTTTCCTTGCTCCCTGTGCTCACCCGATTAAATAAAGCATTACCAAATTTGTTCAGGCTGCTTTCTATTCATTTTAAACTCTTTATTGAAAATAAGTTGCAGTTGGTACACAGACACTGAAAATACATCATCACAGATTGCTCTCTCAAAAGATATTTTCTTATATATATTTATATATATATATACAAAAGTTGTAAACATTTTTAACTTATTTCCATACACAGTCCACTTTATACTACAATCCACGTAAGGTTAGTGACAACTGCAACTCGTGGAAGCGGTCTGCTCATACAGAGGTATCTGCAAAAGAACTTAAATTTGCAAACCACATTTGGTATCTGGTTGTTATTAAAACTTATAAAGAATCTGAGGTTTAAATGCATATTGCAACAAAATACAGGCAGCTGAACTTGGGTTTCAAGTTGGTACAGCGAAGGCCATGTCTGAGCCTCACGGGTGGTAGGAGGTTGACACACAGCTTCTAAATGCAATCTAGAGTAGCATTATGAATAAAACAGAGTGGAACTCGACTTGTCTGCTCTCCCCAGGAAGACAAAGAAGGCTGAAAGGAAGTCTGCAAATATTACACAGCTTTTAGAGAGAGGAATATTGATTTTACACTTTTACTAATGAATAGACAATGATCGTAGTTGGCTTAATTCTATTCAACTGCTCTCATGGCTGCAGCAGGCAGAAGGGCAGTAGATGTGAGTTTGGGGAATGGGACAGTGCTGTGGAGGAGAGGGAAGGGGACTGATATCCCCCAGTAAAGAGCAGCCGATGGAAAAAGCAGAGATGCCAGAGCTGTCACCGTTGTAGCATGAACTCAGCAGTGCTGTGCTGCTACCTGCAGATTGCCCAAAGGGAAACTCATCTTACAAAGTGCCTCACCAAAACAGCAAGTGAAATCCAACTGCTCATGGACATGGTTAAACTGCAGGAGATGGTGAAGCACATTGTTGGGGAGATGATTTTGCTGAGCGTTGGTTAAACAAAACTTCTACCTTGCTCGGAATAGCTTACGATGCCGGGAGCAATTTCCAATTAATGTCTTTATTTCAAATCCTTTTCTAATGGGTTTAAAGTATAAGTTCATGCAAAAACAAACAAACAAACCTACCTACCCATAATGTGGTTTAATTTCAATGCTGAGAAATGCCTGTGTTGTCCCAACAGAGCCTCATTGAGCACAAGGATCTGGTAGAATAAATCTCCAGGAAGAAAAGGTACAGGCTTGCTCATAGTCTACTCTTTATGCTGAAATTCAGCCCTGACACTACACAGGAGCTGTCAGCATGTGAGGCTGAGGGCAGCCTGGTCAGCTGCAAGATTTCTGGAGGACTCTACAATGGCTTCTGAGAGCAGCATGGGGCTAGCAGCCAGCAGGGCATGGATTTGCAGCAAAATGCTGGCATGGCTGTAAGGGCTGGTCTGCAGGGTTACAAGGAAAGCAGCTACTGTCCACTGTACCACAGTGAACTTACAGAGAGAAAAAAAGTGGGTGAAAGAAGTATGAAAGTGATGCTAAGACAGTCTGAACCTCGAATGAGATACTGCAGGGATCCAATAATTCTGCTGTTACAGCCCATACCTGCACACACAGTCTGACTGACCCATCATGAAGATGCTGTAACAGTTAACAGACAGCACTGGTAACACAGAGCAGACAGTGGGAGCGCTGCAGGGCCTTGCAAAGTGCTTGGAAACAGGACGCTGTGCAAAGGGTAGGCATGAGTCATCATGGCCAGGGAGAGGGCTGATGTCTCACGCTTCCTTAATTAAGGTTTTAATTCAGCAGGGCCTTGTGCTACCAGCCTGGGGGATGAGGAATTACACAGGAGCTGAGCAACAGTCGCCAACAAACCAGGAAATGTTTTTCTTTCCAGGTGGCTGACTGCTGTTTCCAAGGCATGAGTATCTTAGGTGTCGCAGTGCCACCTTAATTACATTTTTTCCCACCCTGATGTAGACTGAGGAATGACTGTGCTGACCTGCAAAAACTGCACCAACTGAGGGATGTCTGCTGGCTCCTGCTGCCCCAGCAGCACCCGGAGCAGGGGGAGGTTTCTCTGGCAGTAGCCAGCCCACGGCCATGGAGCAGCTCCTGCTCTGCCTCACCCCTGCCAGGAAACCCAGGCACCAAAGCCCCTTCCTCTCCTGCTGAGTGCAGCACATCCAGGTTCTCACGCACAGCGCCAAGCAGAATTTAAACATAATAACACATTCTGGGGAGGAGTGACTGCAAGAAGAAGCTGACCTTGAGAAGAACGACGCTGCCCGGCCTGGGGATGAAGTCACAGTTGTGCTGCTGCCCCCACGCCGTAGTGGCTGCTCTCAGGTCAGGGACGGCGTGGGGATGTGCATCCATGTCCCACAGCCACGGGTGGGAGGGGTGGAAAGAAAAGAAATGCAATGTAGGCCTGGGGTGCGTACATTCAGATGTTGTAATATTCAGCACGTTTACACCACTGACCAGGACACTTCTCGCAGTCAGACAGAACTTTAGTTCTTTACGGTTACAAGGAAACTCTGGAACAGTTATATAGTTAGAAAAGATACAATGTACCGAACAAACATTATCTCACATACAATCAATTTAAACATTTAAATTGATTATAATTTTACTAAAATATTAACACAAGTACTGTTTGTGCTGCTAAAATTTCAGTGTTCCCTCTAAGGAAAATATTGCTACAGTTCTACTGTACCCTGTATTAAAATCTTTTGCCCTTTTATTTTCATCAAGACTGGCTCTAGAAAAATCACAAGGGTTAGAGAATTAAACTTAGGCTTATACTCTACTGGGGTTTGGGTGTCCCCACTCAGTGCACAAATTTCTCACTGCTCACCTACCTCAATCAGCACAGGCTGATAGCAGACGCCCCCAGGGCACCTTTCTTGCTTCTTGCATCAGCTCCAGGTGCCTCCTCCATCAGCAGTGCAGCATCCTCCTGTTGCTGCAGGGAGCAGCTATGCTGGCAGCGGGGCTGAGCGCTTCCTAATACTAAGTTCACTTCAGAGTGGATGGCAAAGGTACTGGGGAGATGCTGTGGAGTTGTCACTGTAAGGAAAAGCTGTAAGGGATGCCAGGTCCCTTTGTCACCACACACGGAGGGTTGGGCTCTGCAGGAAAAGTGTCTGAGCTGGGAAATGCCCGCACAGCTCCATCAGCACTGGGTGCTGCCAGGCAGATCCTGATCCAGGAAAGCCAACGCTCATCGTAAATGCAAGTTTTAATCTGACCTGAATAGTGGGGTATTCAAGTTATGCATTTTGTCACCGATAACGACTGCCTGTGACGAGGTTTGCTGCTTATTAATTAATGCATTTATTTGCTATTTAGCAGCAGAAATGAGCTGTGCTAATGATGATGACAAAAAACTGCTGGATTTTTTTGCTACAAGAACAGCTGGGGCAGTCATTTATCTATTGCTTGTGAGGTCAGAAGGCAACACACAGCTCTGCCAGCAACAACAGTGCAGCGAAGGATCCCTGCAGCCAGGTGAGGAGGGGGGCCGGGAGGACTTTGCCACAGACTGACCCACTGCTCAGCCACCGTGCTCTGTCCTCAGCAGCACCCAGCTCTGCTCACAGCCACTGCACACCCAGCACTTCAGACGCTGATGAGCATCTGCTGCACTTTTCAGATTGACTTGGTATTAATAAGGTTGTAATTCTGCTGCTGGAAACCAAACAGCCTCGTCCTCAGGCGTTTATCATCCACTCTATTCTCCCACGATGGGCAAATGTGTGCCACATGCACCCCCACAACAGACTTCAAAGCCCACCGAGTCCTTTCGGTGCTTGCTTTGAATTCTGCATCACCAGGGACTGCAGTGCAACACACACATTTACACCTGAGGATTTTGCTGCAATTACGACAGATGGTGGCTGCTCCCAGTAGAAAAACACAAGTTACAATCTGCTTCCTAATTGACTTAGAATTTGAGTCACTGAGGCACCCACACCTTTTGTGTTGGCAGCTCTGGGTCTGAGGGTGAGCAAGAGTTCAGTGTTGCCAATCAGAACTGTTCGGAAATTGGCAAACTTCAACAACCCCACAATGAAGTGGAACTGTAACACGCCATATTTTCCACTGATAAAAGCCTACTTCTAATTAGCAGACAACTATTGCTAAATTCTTTTCCAAAGCAAGTTTCAAACACAACTTTCTGTATCCTCAACCAAAACTGCATGGAAGCACAGAAGCTATTTGGATATTCAAGATAAAACCCAAACTTCTGTGCCCCCATGTCCCCCCGCACCCTGAACTATGTTTGAAACACCCGTTTGGTCGTGGTTTTTTGTACAATAAATATATACAAATAAAAGTAACACAGACACCACTTGTTTCTTTGTAAATTTGGCAATTCCCATGGCCTCTGCTCTCTGTGCTGTACATGAAAGCTCTATCAGGAGTGGGACTAGGCCAGGACCAACCGCCCCAGCTGCAGCCCCCCTCACTGCAATGAGGCCACATCTGTGTTAGCTCTGGAAGAACGAGATGAACAACTCATCAGCTACCTTGTTTTCTAGCAGGAAAAGGTATTTTTGGCTTTCCCAGGCACTCTGTGGCACCTAGTGCCCAGTGGTGCTAAAACAAGCCTCGAAGAAGGTACTGACTTATCTTCTGCCACATGGAGTAGCGACCTTCTTTCTTCCGACTTAGAGGGAACACTGCTTTTATAAAACCCTTGGACAGGTAAGACAAGAACCAATACCACTGTACAGAATTCACTGCACAACTAGCTAATAGTAAGGAACCCAGCACTGACTTGCCACATTAAGGAAATGGTACTGAATACATTTGCAATCAACCGGTTAACTGTACTGCACCATAGGACTCGGTCTATTTGTACACGGCCGCACGCCCTCCTCCCTCAGTATGCTGGCACTTGGTAACCTTTCGGGTTGGCGTCCGAGGTCTCGGTGAACGGGGGACTCTGGTAGGTCTCTGTGCTCTCAATGCCACTGCCAGTGGGGTACCCGGGATACGCAGCATTGGGGTCGGTGGCAAACTGGTCGGTGGCAAAGAGCGACATGTCGGTGCCCAGGCGGTACCGCTGCAGGGCCTTCAGTGCCAGTGCGACCTGCAAGGGATGGAGAGATTTGGGGGGAGAGCCAAGCACCGTGGGTGACTGCTGCCTCCTGCTCCTCTGCAGCCATAGAAACCCCTGGCCCAGGAGGAGCCAGGTGTGCAGGGCATACCGGTGCTGCACCACCGTGCACTGCTGTGCTGCACCGCACCACCTTGCATCAGCACTCTGTGCTTCCCTCTGCCATCCTTTCCCCCTCTCCGTGCCTCCCAAATCACAGAAGAGGCCTCACAGAGATGCTTGCCCTTCAGCTAACACTTCCTAACACTGTTCATATTCATGCTGCAAAGCAAAACCTTCCATTGAGACCTACGAGTTCTCCCCATGCAAAACCAATGCCCACACTGTGTTCAGATCAGGTTCCCATTGTCATCAAGGAAGTGGCACCATCAAACCAACCACTGCAATGAGTGGAAACTGTCCCAGGCCAGTGAAATAGGTCAGTCCTGCAGAGACTCCTTCACCCTTTTCCAGGTTGCAAGTATTCAGGTCACAAATTGTGGGAAATGGAAGCAGCAGAGCTGTGAGAGACCTGCACTCACCTTTATTTCAAGAGGTTTCATTAACAATTCAATTAATTTTTAAATGACAGACTCAGGATAAAGAAAACCTGCCCACAGACACCAAGATGGCACGGCCTTAGCCCCTCCTGTAAGCCCCAAGGGCAACGGGTGCTCCCCTGCTGTACACTTATGGCCCTTTGGTATTTCCTCTGGCCCAACACTATTTCCCTGGCCCTGGCAGCAACTGTCTGCAATGGACCTTATGTATTTGCTGCAGCATTTTGCACCTCTCCTGAGGAAAGCAGCAGAGCAGACAGTCTGGTTTCCCCTAGGGGCTGTCAAAATCCCCCACACCCTATGGGACAGGCTCATCATGGTGTACTCCTGGGGACTCACTTGCTTCAAACCAAACTCCTCCCTGGGGTCTGAAATGAGGGCAGCATGTGGGCAGCAACATGTTTTTGATGGAAATGCAACTTGCTAGCTGCAGGAGAAGTTTGGAAGTTCCCAGGGAGAGGGGACTGGAGCTGGGGCTTCCTGGGTAAGCAACCACAGTTTCAGCTCCCTGCAGAGGGAGAAGGACGAACTGCAGGTTTCTTTAGTACAGCCCTTCACCGCTCACCAGGCTTCACTTCCCCAAACTGTGCCCCAGATTCCTCCTTCAGCTCAGTGCTGAGCCCATAGTAGGTTTCATTTCTCCTCTCCCCAGCCTAGCTGAGTTGGGTAGTTTCTTCTGTAATTAAATTTGTGCCCTGTGGATAAAGCCCAGCTCTGGGGATAAGTATCTGCCCCACGAGGTGCTTGGACCCTCGCCATGACAGTGGCAGGCAGCACTTGTACCACAATGCCCTGGGTGCAGTAGCTGTAACCCTGCATAAAAAGCTGCAGGTCTCACAGGTAGGGGTAGGGCCCTTGAAAAGTCCAGAAGCTGAACTCACCCAGACGATGATGGAGAAGAAGGAGAAGGCAATTGATGCCCGGGCAGCATCTGCTCCTTGCGAAGCCCCTTTGCTCATTGTTGTCCGCTGCCACTGGTTTGCTAGGAAGCAGAAGGCTACAAACCAAAGGAAGGACAAGAAACCTGGAGGAGAACAGAGCCAGTCAGTGCTGATACTGCCATCACTTCCTCTGCTCCAAGAACCCCAGAGATCTGGGTGTTGATGCACAAACACTGCCACCAAGACATTCAAACAGCAACAGAGGTCCTGGGTGCCTTATCCTCTGCCATGACCCAAACAGAGCTATTTTGAAAGAGGTGAATTTACAATTGCTGAAAAAATTGAACTGGAGGAACTTGTAGCATTATCTTGTCTGTTGTCTATCTTCAGTTTAGCCACCTAAATCTTTAGTTTAGTCACCTAAATCTTACCTTCATCTTAAGCTTTGCAGGGACAGCACAACCTCTAGACACAGCCTTCTTGCACTCGGTGGGACTGCAGCCTGCTCACAGGCACCAAGATGCTGCCAGCCCACTCCCCAGCACCCTGCTGTGCTGCTCACCTTTTGTTTCCTGGAAACCTGTGGCTTTCAGAACCTTAGGGCTGGGCACTGCACAGCTGCTCAGCAGGTGGAGGGGGCTGTGTGCCTGCTCCCAGCCTCACTGCGCTTCAGGGATCAAGTGAAAATGCTCCAATGATTATTTCTTACTGGAACCAAGGCTGGCTTATCAAGATAGGGCTGCAGCTCCTCTAATTCAATCACCAACCAACAGCATTGCCTAATGTCAGGAAGCTTAGAACAGACACAAAGCTACCCACAAGCACACACTGTAACAAGCAGTAATAACAAGCAGTAACACTTTACAGCGCTGTGAAAAGAAGTTGCATAACCTGGAGCCTTCCATGATGCTGTTTTAAGGGCCTACAGCTTTCTAAGCATCCCCAGCACAAAGCTCCCTGCATTTGCCAATGTGCACACAGAGATCCAGGCCCAGCAGCAGGATGCTGAGCTACAAGCCTCTTCCCAGGGATTATCAGCACATCAGAGCGAGCAGCCACACTGCCAGCCCCATGGGCATAGCACAGTCTGGCCACAGGGAGAGGAAAGCAGCTTCCTTTTTTCCCCTCTTTATCTTACCAGCTCTAAAGTACAATAAAAGATGCATGCTCACGTCCAAACACTGTGCAAGATTTATAAGGCTTCTTGCCTTTAGTTTAGAATTTGTGCCTAGCTGCAATTTTGGAAAACACGCTCCTTGTTTCCTTTTCTTACACAACTGGACCTGGGGAAGATACTTTGGACAACTTAGCCAAATCAGGCCCTTGATCTGCTCTTACAGCAACACACCCTCCAGCTAGGATCACCCCTACCTTCCTCTTCCAAATCTCAGACTAACAAAACAGTCTTTTTTTTTTTCTTTTTTTCTTTTTTTTTTTTTTTTTTTTTTGCATAAGATGGCTAATGCCTGCTACCAAAGCCACCTCTGCATAGCCATCTTCACCGTCAGGATGATCCACTTGTCCTCAGTGGTAAATGAGACCTCCCATGCTCACAGAGCAAAATTCAGGAAGAAGTTTCTCGCTTCAAATCCACACATTTTGGACACAGCAGTATTGGGAAGATGAAAGACCAGAGATGAAACGTGAGAGCAACTCATAGCAGGTTAACTCACAGCATTGTTGTGCATGCTCAGGGGCATCCTTCCTCTGGGGCCATCCACAAAGGGACAGTGGGGTTCTCCAGCAGGATTAGGCTTCATCACTGGTTTACAGGGAGTGGAATTGTTTGCAAGAATCCCAGTGTCACAAAGCTGATGCTGTGGCACAGCCATGACACAGGGACTCCCCACCGCCCAGTGCTCTAAGCTCCATCTGTCAGTGTGTCAGCGGTATCTTCCAAGGGTTTTCAGGACTTAAAATGACATCATCCACATCTCTGCCCGTGCACCGGCTGTGCTGGGTATTGCAGCTAACAACTTCCTCTGCAACACAGATACTGGAGCTGCTGACCTGCCCAGTGCTGATTGCTGGGGTCTGAAACCTTCAGTGGGAAATGCCTGAATGGTGTTGCTCCTGCTGCTGCCCACGTGCACCTCACTGAGGTTTCACCATGCACACAAGCCTCTGTCCTCCTGACATCAGGACAGCTCTGCTGAGTTTCTGGGAAGAAAACTGGTTCTCTGCAGGTCCTGGGAAAGGGGAAATGCAGTATTGCTGCCAGTGGACAAGACAGTGTCAGGTATTCAGAGCACCTCCAGAAGTACCAGGCGGTGTTTATGCCATTTGAAAAGCTGACACATGCCTGTGTGTGAGATCAGGCTTCCCAGTGAGCTCTAGGAGGAACTATTTTTGTTCTGTACCAGCACCCGTTTCCATTTGTGATCATGTTCACCCTCTGTTAGCACTCCTGTGCGATGAGACTCTATGCCCAACACTGACTCATGCCTGGGATCACTGCTGCCTCCTCTCACCTGCACATCCCAGGGTCCAGGCTGCCCTGGTGCCAGCTGGGTACCATCTCATAGCTTCAGTATATTTCCAGGACCAAGTGGAAATGGGTATTTGGGAGGTGTGGGTTGATATTCATGGATTTCAAGACCCTGAGGAGGGGGCTGTTCTGACAGTGGGTTGCTGTGGCCACAAGCACCTTTCCTGACTCCTGGCGGAAACACACACAGCTCTGCACCCTCCAGCATACCAGAGAGAAGGAAAATACCAGGAATAGCTGTTAATTATAGTTTTAGGATTGCAGACAACAGAATGCAAACACCAGGAAATATACATTACAGTCGTAATTACAGCCTGGTTCCAAGCAACGCACATCTACAGGAGCAGCTGTAAGAGCAGATGGAGGATGAAGTTGCAAGTGCCACTGACATAGCACTGTGGCTGTCCTGCTTGCACCCAGCATCATCTACCTGTGGACTCAGGGGCTGCAAGAGGCAGAGCCCCCAGTGCCCCGTGGGGCAGCCCACTGTGGGGACAACCTTTGCAGGCAGCTAATGCTCCTTGTACAGCTGGGGTGGGAGCAGCAAGCTGTCAGTATAAGTCCACTCACCCACCACTGATCCTCCCTCCTTCAAGTGAAAGGAAGCTGTGGGTTAGCAATTAGACCAACTCCTCCCATGACCTTCATAGGCAGCAGCTGCCACTTCTGCTTCCGTGCAGCCAGCACCACGCACTGGGGGAATCCAGGCACGGGGACAGAAGTGACCTTCTTCTCTCTCACCCCACCCACTTCCTACTTGATGCTCCTCATCCTCTTATTTCCCAAATGCATTTTCAGCTTTTATATTAAAGCATACAGTAATGCAGAGATCACATGCAGAGAAAAAGGATGAAATAGTCACAAGTAGGAGGAAATCAAGAGCCAAGGAGGAAAAGAAGAGGAAGGGTGCAGTGTAGAAGTCCCACAGATAAAGTTCCTAGAGATTAACACAGGCAGTCAATGCAAATAACTTGCAGTTTGCACTCTATCACATATGTACAGGTTGGCTCTGAGCACACAGAGCCCATGGGCTGCAAGCCCCAGGCTGCTTGGGGTCACATGCCAGCAAAACCCTGAATTTGATCTGTGCTGCACGATCTGCTTCTGGAATCAACCAACTGCCTGGAGTTTCTGCACGAGCGGGCGTATGGGCTACAGCAGTACAGAAGGTTTGGGGCAGCTATAATTTTAGAAAAATGAAGGCACAGAAATAGGAATGGAATAAGATGCAGTAGGCACGAACCCACCCTGAGATCTCCCATTGAAATGTGAAAACTTGCAGCAGAAGGGTGTTTTGCACACCAAGGGCACTAATAACAGCTCCACATGCACAGCTCTGGCCACCCATGATCAAGAGAGACAAATACAAGCTGAGGTACGAACTGCAGGCATGTGGAAGGGAACAGAGAGTCCATCTGGTGTGAGGAGACATGCAGTGAGGCTCTCAATCAGCAAATGAGAGTTTCAAGAAAGAGTTTGATTAAGGTATGAAGCAGGATACACAGTGCAAAAACAGGGTCTGAAGCCAAAGAGCTGGAAGTCCCCTCCATACCCATGTCCCATGACGAGACCCTCAACTCAAGCCTGCACAAGCAGCAGGGGAAGGTCACTGGCAGACACTGGCACCCAGCTGAGTAAGAAGCATGCTGCCACTCACACATCCCTCCCAGCAGCACAACTCGCCTGTAAGTGGTTTGCTTTGCAACATGGAAGTGGTCTGTCCATTTTCTACCAAAAAGCATGCAGAGGGGAAGAAGGAAGGGAGGAGGAAGGAGCCTTGCAGGTGACACAAGGCACTCGAGAGTAGCACACTCATCCCCTGGTCCCAGTAATAAAGTCAGCACCGGCAGGTCAACTGTATTTGAAATTTGTGGATGGGGAGGATTTTACCAGGACAGAGCCCTGGTGCAATACTGGAGCCTGTCCCCATGAGCAATGCCTGTAGGCAGAAGCCCATCTTCTGCAGCTTTCTGCAGTGCCCCATGACTATGCACACTGTATGACAAGGACAACAGAGGAACAAGGCAGAGATGGCCCCATTTCATACAAGCCTGGCAAGGGACAGTGCAGCTGGTACAAGGTGAAAATCAGGGAAGGATCACAGCCTCACACCAAGACAGACATCCAGGCAGAAGATGGATGTGGACACTCCCATTTGAATTGCAGAGCTGCAGGCCCCAAGCCCCACAGAAAGGGCTGTAAATACCAGCTCACAATGGCTGGGCACTGAAGCTCTAGCACCATGGAAATGAGCTTTCCAGCAAGGAGAGGACATTCTTAACTACAGCCAAGCATAGGCAGATGATGATGGATGTTTTCATCTGGGACCAGAGTCATCAGCTGTGTTTGTGCTGGATAAATCACCTTCAGACTATGCTAACACAAGAACCTGGAAATCGAGAACATCAGCTGCAAATTCAGCCAGAAAACTCCCAGAGCAGCCAAGCAGAGGACAGTGTCTCCCAGCACAGCACAGCCCATCAGCTCCTGTTCATGTGGCTGAGTCAAGGGCTTGGGACAGCACAGAAAATCCACGTGAGTCCTTGGGAAATCCAGAGCTACTAGCAAACCCCAGCCCTGGAGGCAGTGAGGGATGGCAATGGTATCTTAGCTCCTGCTGTAGAAGCACACTTCTGCTTTGTGCAGAAACACATGCATGAAGTGAAAACAGATCCAGATGTAACTGACGAAGTGACTCTTGTTAAGAGGCAGAAACAGGAGATGTGACAGGGTAAAATGTGACCACCAAGCTTTTCTTCCCCAAGTGACCCCAGTGATCCCAGCTTCAGAAGCAACATCAGTGAGCAGGACACCCCACTGACCTCAAACTACCACACATTGGCTTCCCCACTGCTGCCTTTGGATTCACTGTTGAACAAGACAACCCATCCTTCTCCCTAAGACATGAGCTGTGCCATGGCCTGAGGGATGAGAGCAGGACTCAAGCATGGAGCTGCAGGCACAGCAATGACCCTGCACACCCCATGGAACCAGCAGTGTCCATGACAAACAGTGTCCATTAGCAAAGCCAAAGTTGTACCTGAAAAGCCCAGGTCCAGCAGGACAGCTCGTTTGCGGTCCTTCACGCTACTGATCTGCTGGAACTGGAGGTCCACAACAAGGAAGAAGATGCATCCGAAGAAGGCAATAATGCCAATGGCAATGCCATAGCTGCAGGCACTCTCATTCTCATTGAAGATGCAATGTAGCTCAGGGTCTGTGCCATCCTTGTTCACATAGCACTCGTTCACAATGGAGCCGAACACCACGATGGAAAAGATCTGCAAAAGGAAGGAGAAAACACAACTTGCAGCTGCTTACATTTAACTCTGTTTTCCAACAGCAAAATAATTGGATTCAGTCCTGTGAGGCTCTACAGCAACACGGCATTTGCTAGATAGATCCCCACACTCAGCTGGCTGGTGGTTCTATGCGATGGGCTGGCGGATGGCATCTAGGGCTCCAGATGCTGTGAGCCTGCTTGTTTTCAATGGTCTGGCTTGCGGTGTGTTTTAAGAGATGGGGATGGAGGGGAAGGGAAACTAAACAGATTGGTCAGGTCTCTGAACAGTCTTTCTGCTTGTGCTGCTTTGCACCATCAGACCGCACTCAATGAACCCCCTTGTGCAACTGCAGAGCAGAGAGAAATGAAGCTACAGATAATGGAGATGCTGAATGCACACTGGAGGGTGGATGGGGTGCCTGGGGATATGGGGAGCAGCTCACCTGGGTGTCATGGGAAGGAGGAAGAAGTTATGGTTGTGCTGCCATGCAAACATTGGCCAATTCAACCCCATAGCAGAGGCTGAAGGATGCAGTGCCTGCATCTGTTATGCAGTAACCCAGTTCCAGCCCTGCAAAGGACAGTAGAGAAGGAGCTCACTGGTGGCTGCCCCATTCCTGCTGCTGACTGCTGGGACCCACAGCAGAGCTAAGAGTAGCTTCCCAGCCCCCCAGCACACAGCAATGGAGAGAAGCAGCTGCTCCACAGTAGCTTCAACTCCAGCTCCCCAGGGCTTTGCCTCACATCCTGGCTGCAGAAAGGGAGCTGGGTCATAGCTGGGTCATGTGGCTGTGTCCACGAATGCCATTCACAGTGCTGCATGCCTAGGTAAATCCCTTATTCCTCTCCAAAACCAAAGGCAGCAAGCAGAAGCCACAGGACCAGCTGCATTCACTCTTGCAACCTGGGAAGCACTGTGCTGCTGCTTCCATTGCTGGGCTTAGAGTAGCAAGACCTGTGGATGCCCTTGCACCACACTGTGCATCTCTGATCTTGTCACTTGCTGCCAGCACCACAGGATCACTGCATACCTCCTTACCCTGCTGGCTCCCAGGATGCATCCAGAGGCAACGTATCCAGGCAGAGACCGCACACAGCTCCTCACTGCTTTCTCTGCAGTCACAGCCCTGTACTGAGACACAAGACCGAAACGAGCGACAGCCAGATGCAGCAGCTCACAGCCACCTGCAGTCCATGGCTCTTGCAGTAACTGCCCGCTGACACTTCACCTTGCTCCCTAATGCATAGGGGCAGCAGAACCAACAACAAACAAACCATTCTGAAGGCTTCCAGCACTGCAGTATGCTGTGACAGCACGAGCACTGGCCACGTGTCTCTATCCTGGCTACCCTGCAGTATTCCACATGGACAGCCCTTCTCCCTCTCCTCCACACTCTTCCCAGCTGGGCTGAAGCTGGGACAGAGGGAGTTCCAACTGAACATACTTGCAAATGCAAATGTCTCATCAGCAAACCTGTCTTAGATCCTCTCTTAGATCCTCTCCACTAACTCCCCTCCATATTGGAGGGAACAACAAAGAAGCATATCTTCAGGAGTGCAACCATGACAGATAGGTGCAGGGTATTTTCTTTCTCTGTGGGGCATCATCTGAAATAAATGATGAGCAGAAGCAGTGCCAACAGTCCCTAGAGAACATCCTGCCTTAGGAGTGCAAGCAGATACCTGCCCCTGCTCACATCCAGTTCCACAAACCCATGAGCACAAAGCCATCCAAGGACAGAGATCATCTTTAAACTGTCAGCTAGGAGCTCACTCCTCTTGCACTTGCATTTCAAGTTAGCTCACTGCTGGGCCATGTTGGATGATGGAGATACTCTAGGACCTGCCTGTCAATTGAGCAGGCATCTCTGTGCTACCCAGACATCCTGCTTTCCTTCCAAGCATCCCTCATCTTCAAATTTAACCAAGACCTGGGGTTCTTTCCCCACTCCTCTCAGCCCCAAGCACCACCACAAGCTCACTGCTAACGTGAGTCACTGCCTGCATTCACACCCAGCTTCTCGTCTCACCGTGACGGCCGCATCATCATGTAAAGAACAACAGGGCTGCATTGTAAGAAGGAAGCAACAAACAACAACAAACAGCAATAATAATTTTCCCAGAGCTTTGGCAGCAGCTGTAATATCAGCAGTTGTAAAAATCTGTTCATAAATAATGCAAAATTGTTATTTACTATCAGAAATAGCAGCAGCATTTATAAAACAGCCCCTGGAATAAATAATGTGATTCTGGAAAACATGAATAATTGAGAACCTCTGATTCCACTGGATTATTTCTCTGGCAGGCCAGTGAACTTGCACTTAGCTTCTCAGATAAGTGTTTTTACTAAATCCTCCCAGGATTAGCAACCTGCCTTATTTCTTGGTGCTTTCAGATGCCTCCTGTGCTCACAGCCTGGCTGGGTGATGCAGTACCATGGTTGCCCACAGAGTTGGTGCTGCTCCTGGGGGAAAGCAAAACCTATGCTGAGCAGAGCACATCAAAAGGATCATGGCTGGAAGGCAGGATCGGATACCCAGGTCTGTTAAAGGAGAATGCCCAGAGAGCAATCATGGAGGAGCACAAAAGCCAAAAGGTGCCCGTAATGCACACACCTGGGACCAATGCAAACGTCACCAGAGATGGTACTTGCAGATATCCTACTGCTTAGCTTTAACTTCCAGTGAGTTTTGCTCTGTTCAGTGCAGAGAGTTGCACCTGTCTTGCAGCTGGGGCATCCCGCAGAAAGGGGCTGAGAGGTGAGACAGCCATCGGATGCACAGCCCAGCAAGAGTGAGTGCATGTGTTGGATGGAGGTACAAAATCATCATGCTGACTGAAGGACGCCTGTCAAAACAAGCTTGTCAGTGAGAACAAGTCTTTCCATGTTTTTTCTCTCCCTCTCCTCATGATTGATATTAATTTTCTTAAAAAACAAAACAACAACTGCTGCTGGTAATTCTCATTTTAATGAGAATAGACTTGGTGTTGTTTTGCTATGTGTAAGTTAAAAGAAAGTTAAGGAAAGGGGTGTAGATGGGGGAAAAGTAAAACCCACAGGACTTTTTTAAGTTCATGAAAAACAAGTGCCAGTCCCTAACTACCTCCACAGCCCTTGCTTGCTCAAGCTCTCAACCAGTTCATCAGAGACCTGAGAGAGAAAATGCAAGGTCAGATTCTCCACAAGTGGCTGGAGAAGCATTCTGGTTAGGAGGATGCAAGAAGAGCTGCACACACTGCAACACAGATGAGCTGCTTGTGCAAATGCAGAGCTGTCCAGTATCCCTGAGCAAGAGGGGACACTGTCAGGCAGCAAGCTCTTCTGTAGCACAGGTCAAAGGGGTGTGAGTTCAGCAACCTATGATGGGGTTTGAGTACAGACCATGACTCTGGAAAACAACTGCTACACAGCTGAAACCAGAGGGCTTTGAGCATCGCCCTGTGACCAGTGCTCCAGTAATGCACCCCAAGGGCTTTGGGACAGACAGGTAACAGCGCCCAGTTGGTGGGCAGCACACTGCTGAATGACACCTACTTTCTTCTAAAGAGAAGGAGCAGCCTGCCACAGAGCTTGCTCACACCAGGTTTTTGCCATCTGGATATGGATGGCTGGCCAGGCTGCCCTGGCTTGGGTCTGCCATCACACTTTGCAGATTTACATTCCTTCCTGCAGCATCAGTCTGCCAGACCCCAGACCTGCAGGTATTCTATCCACACTGCTTTCAGCCTTCTGTCACCCAGGCACCTGAAATGTGCATATGGAGTTCTGACAATCTAAGCACAGTCATCACAAGGAAAACAAAAAGCAAGAAACGCGAGAGCATGAGCTGAAAGCACCAATGTGTGAGCTGTCAGCCATTTTAAGGTGAGATGTTTCCAGTGTCGATGCACTGTGCTTCAATCGGGGGCCTATGAAAAAACACTGCCAGAAGGTGCGGGTTTGCAGGAGACTGCAGAACCTTGCTTTGATTACACACACAAGCAACTGCTAACATTAACACTGAGGAAATTTGACGCATGGAGAACAATGATCTACCCCCAATTTGCTCTGCAGTAGCTCTCAGTCAATGGTGATAGGCACAACCCAGATGGACAGAGCCAGCACCAACATCAGGGCGAGCTCGTCAGATGCTGCCTTCTCCAGCCCCCTCTGCTCCTTGAACCATCCCTGAGTGAGGATGGTGAGGGCAGCAAACAAGAAGGAAAAATTACTGAGGTCAGGCACACACAGGCCACATCCTGCCCAGCACTGGGCATTTTAGCCCCCACTGGGCCCTGGGCTGGAGCTGCCCTGTACCACAAGGACACTCTGCTTGAATCTGGGCTGCACCCCAGTGCTTCACACCTTCCAAGCTCAAATTCTGGGGGAATCTAGGCCCCTGTCCTCCCCATTTCATCCTTACAGCTGTCAGTAACAGCAAAGTTTTCTGCACGCAGCTGCATAATTTACTGGGGTGCATGAAGGCCAACAACCAACCTAAGCACTGCCAGATCTCCCATGAGGACTGAAGATGTGACCACAAAGGAAAGACCTGATGCAGTTTCTGGCACAGAACCGGATAGCGTGATGCCAACCCTAATAAGGTTATGGACATGTCTAATGGGCTAATCAGACTGTGAAGGATGCATGTTGATGACCACATGACTGCTTTGTACTGAATTACCTTTTCTAATGCGGCAAAAGATGTTGGTTGAAACACAGCATCCATTCAAAGTTCCTGGTCTAGTGGCACAATCTGAGCACACATCAAACTGACAGCATTTGGAATCAGTGATGACAGGAAAACGGAAATTCAGCTGCATTTTAAGCTCAGATGTGGTGAAACTTCTGTATAATTTCATTAACAAAAATGTAAAGCTAAAGGTCAGCCTTTAATATCTACAGCCCACGGAAAAGGAAAATTAAGACGGAAATCTGGTGACCTTACTGAAAGCAGCCAGTGCTAGACAAAGCCCAGGGCAGCCAAGATCACAGCACTGACTCTGAGCATTGCCACAAGCTCCTGAGGCACAGCCCAGCCATGCAGCCCCTCTCTGAGAGCCACAAGCCCTCCATGCTGGGGACGACCCTGCAGGCGGGGCAGAGGTTCCTCAGGAAGGCAGGAGGGACACTGCCTGGTTCCCTCCTGTGCCCAGGGTGCAGCACAGTGGCCACCCCTTGCTCTCCTGCTGCAGTTTGGCTGCTCTGCTCCTAAGCTGTTCTTTTTTTTCCTGCTAAAAACAAACAGCCTATACAATGAGCACACAGCAGGCAGCAGCACCTTTCACCCTCCCAGAGGAACCAAACAAACCTGAAAGTGGGCAGAAAGGGCCCACTGCCCACTCCAAGAACGAATCTCCTACCCATAACACATCCATCCCAGTTCTTACCTAACTCATCCCTCAGCAAAGCACACGTATCTCACTGAAAGATAATGATTTACCATATTATGGACTAATACACAGCTCAGTGAAAAGCCAGCACATAAAGACTTCTCCCGGATCTGAGCCAAAGCATTCTCTGGTCCTATAAATTCACTACCTCATATCAAAGGTTATGGGGATTTCCACTTGCTACGCCCATGGCTAGGCAATCAGTTTTGGCTGCTGTTGGTCCATCCTCTAATAAAGGTTATGCTCTTAAAGGCAAAATGCTGGGCTCAATGAGCTAACACTGTACAGGAACAGCTCCCAGCCATCAGGTGATGCACTACACTCCCATTCAGCTTTAGGAAACCAGAAAGGCTCTAGGTAGGGCAGGGCAGGACAGTGCTGTACCATGGCACACACCCTGGGTCAGTGGAGCAACTCTGAGTCACACCAAAGTCACTGTAAGGAAATGCTGAAGCCCTTGAAGCTGTAGGAAACTTGCAGAGATCCAGCATGGCAGAAGAAACCCCAAAGCACACATGCTGAGGCTGCCAGCTCTTGGGTTGAAAGCTGACATGTCAAGGAAAAAGGCTTTTAGTGTTGCTGCTATTGAAATTCATACCAATTACTAAAAACATTTACTTTAATAGCATATTTACCACAACTGCTTTTAAAAGTCAAATCTAAAGGTACATTAAGCAAACAGTTCCCCTTAAAAGCTGCATGGCTGCTTAGAAGCACGTACAGCCGTGGCACGACAGAGAGGGGAGCTCATGGTTCTGCAGGCAGGCCTTGGTGAGCACCAACTTTGTTTTGTTGTGCAAAAAACGCCCAAAAAGGAAACCACAAGAGTGATCACATCTTCTTCTGACAAACTGCATCAGACACAGGGGGAAGAGATGAATGAGGAACTGTTAAGTGGTTCTTTCCAGCTTTTGGTTTTACAGCTTATACCAGGCTAGGTTTTTTTTCCTTTCAGATATTCAGAATTGCAATGTATGGAGAGGTCACAGTATGAGGTAGGACCAGGAATCCCCTTTCACCAAAACTTACATTTGGGAATTTCTAACCCAAAGTCACCATTCACCCACAGGTCCCTCAGATGTTTGTAAGCACCAGAGCTGAACCCACAGCCCCAAAGCAACCGCTGGAGCTGCAGAATGGAGCTGCATCCTGCTTGGCAATGACAGGTTGTGAAACCCCATCAGCAGGCAGCAGCCAGTGGGCTGACTGGCTGCCTAAAGCGAGGGTCTCCACTGCTCACATCTCATTTGAACCAGCACATCAAAGGGCCACCAAGGCAGCTCCCTCCTCCAAAAGAAACACTATCCAGATGGACCTGGACTGGTTTGAAACGTGAGCTCACAAGAACTGAATGAGGTACAACAAGGCCCAGTGTGAAGTAATGCACTTGGGTTGGGGCAAAAAGTGGGGCTGTTGGAGCAGGGCCAGCAGAGGGCACGGGGATGCTTAGAGGATTGGAGCACCTCTGCTGTGAGGACAGCCTGCAGGAGCTGGGGGTGTTCAGCTTGGAGAAAAGAAGGCTGGGGTGGCTTTATGGTCCTTTCCAACCCAACCATTCTGTGATTCTGTAATGGCAGCAAGGATTAAGCCTCCAAGGTTTGCTCCTACAACACGGGTTAAACACGCTTAAAAAGATGTGACAACAAGCAATAGGAAGGGGAATCACATTTAAAAAAAAAATGCCCCCACACCTACACCCAGCTCAAGGGGTTCTGAACAAGCTCTGCTGTGGCTATGCAAAGCAAAGGTGGAGGTTGTGAAGCAAGTAATGGAGCGTTGCAGTGGCTGTGGGGTTGTGCTGCACACCCCAGCCTGGCAAAGGGAAGCTTCAGTTGGAACAGAAAGGCAGCAAGATCTTAAACAGATACTGCTTTGTAGTGCATCGCCTGCCGCCTCCGTCCAAGCTCTCCATCTTAAAACAGGCTGTGGGTTTGATCTGGCACGAGCAGTAAAGCTAAAAAGAGCCTGGGCACACTTTGCAAGAAGTAACAGCAGCCATGCACCAGGTGGAACGGAAACTGGCCCCAAGTACCCAGCTCACACCGACCACATCCCTGCTTGTGCTGAAGGGCAGCCAGTGGCACACAGCTGGGTCACAGCATCACAGCATGGGGACTCCACGCCCCTGTGCTGCATCTGCAAGGGAGAAGGGTTCACAACAGATCTTCCAGCAGAAGTGAGACAAGGGAAGCATCCACATGGCTTCAACATGTACTTTCTAAGCCTTATTGAATCTGACTTCACGTTGCAAACCCTGTGCACGTCATGTTCATGAAAGCCAAAGGGCCCCTCCACCTGCTTAAAGTTGACCCGTTCTGTAGTTATACATGTTCAGTTTTCTGAACCCAGAACCTACAAAATGAATGACTTCTCTACTGAACAGCCAACAAGTGCACACACACATCTTCTAAGCTGGAATTCTTAGTTCATCTGCTATATGCTGTTCCTGCTGCCCATAAGTCCTAGAAGGGTGAGCTTTCTGGATGGGTGCTGGCAGATCCTTTTAAAGGGAGCTCAACTCAACACCTGTTGGCCACTGATTTATCTGACCATGCCCAAACCAACACATTGCCAATGATTTGCCTTGTGGAGGATCCCACTGGATCCCAACCAAGTACTCCAGGTTGAAATGATACTTCCAGGAAATGCCTGCCAGCAGGAGCCTCACAAACCCTGCCCCACATCTGGATGCTCCATATCCATAAACTCCACTCTCCTCCAGTAATGGAGCAAAGGGCTTTTTCAAAGCCCTGGCAAGTTCACTGGCTCCAATCCAGCCAAACAATTAAGCATGTGGTTGAACTCTAGGCATGTGATTGCCGCTGGAACTGCTCATGTGCTTGAAGATAAGTGCATGCTCCCATGTTATGCTGCTCAGGCACCCCAGGGTCCCCCTGCACAGTGCGATGGCAGCTGCACAGGCAGCCCCTTCCCTCAACACCTCTCTTTCCCTTGCTGCATGCACGTTGCACTGCTGAAGGTGACACAGAGCCAGCAGCCATGGCCTCCATGCACGAGCGAGGATGAGCCTCCAGGGCCCAGCTTTGAGAACCAGAGCCTGCAGGAGCAGGGCTGAGACTCCATGCCGGGGACTTTGGGCATTGCAGAGCTCTCTAGCCATGCACGCTTTTAGATTGTAGCAGGTGAGAGCCGAGCACTGCAGCCTGGCAGCACAGCTCTCTGGCTGCTTATTCATGGAGCAGCAATGGGCAAAGACTTCACTGAGTGGCTGCAGCACAGATCCCACCTCTTGTTCCCCCTTGCACGGCAGAACTCACGTATGGGAAAGGACCAGCAAACATAACATCCATTTGGATGAACAGGGGGAGCTGGGCAGGGCTGGCTGTAAGATTTCATCTCTCTTACACATGCACACAGAGAGCACGAATGGGAAGAAAATGTCCTCTGCTTCTGTGCTGCACCCTGCTCTCTCACGCTCAAGCACCAGGGATAAAACCACTGCAGGGCTACGGCATCGGCCACCCGCCACACCGTGCCCGTCCCCACGCAACTTCCCACGGGAGCCAGCGGCCAAAGCGCTGCCCGTTGCACGGTGCCTGCAGGCTGCACGGCACCGCACACCGCACGCACAATACCCGGGCACTGCAGACCGCACGGGCACCGCACGCTGCAACGGGCGCTACTCCGCGCCCGGCCACCGCACGCTGCCCTCCCCGCCTTACCCAAGCCGTCGCCCGGAGGATGGTTTGCGGCTGCTTAAGGAAATCCAGGGGATCGACGGCGCCGCCGGCCCGGCCCGCTCCGAAGGACGCTCCTTCCATCTTCCCCCACCGCCCGCTCCGCTCCGCTCCGGCGCCGCTCCGAGCCGAGCCGAGCGCGCTCCCCGCGCCGGCCGCGCGCTTTTCGCGTGGGTTCGTCCGCAGCGCCGCGCGCGGGCAGCGGGAAGAAGCAGCCGAGGGGCGGGGGGGCGGCGGCAGGTGCACGCGCCCGGCGTGCCGCTCACCGCAACGCGACCGCCTCCCATCGCGGGAGGCCGAGATCAGCGAGCGGTGCGGGCGCTGCGGGCCATCGGCACGGGCACCGCGCTGCAGACGGGAACACCGCGCAATGACCTCAAACGGCATCAACGGCCATGAGCGTCATGCCACAGCCAGGGACATCGTGCCATGCCCATGAGCAGCATACTACAGCTAGAGACAGCAATGGCCATGAGCACCACACTACAGCCAGGGACACCGTGCCATGCCAATGAGCATCATGCCACAGCCAGGGACACCATGTAATGACCAGAAGCACCATACTACTACTACAGACACCATGCAATGTCCATGAGCACCATGCAATGACTAAAAACATTGTACCGCAGCCAAGAGACACCATGCAATGGCTGTAAGCATGAAGCTGCAGCCAGGGATATCATGCAATAACCATGAGCACTGTGCAATGACCGGGACAGCAAGTTATAGACAGGAACGCCGTGCAATGGCCACAGGCACCGTGCTGCAGCCATGATGAAAACACTACAATCAGGGACATTGTGCTGTAACTTGGGACATCATGCTGCAGCCATCATCACTGAGCGATAGCCATGCACAGTGCTACAGCTGAGGAACATGTGCTGCTGCTGCTGGAGTCCCCCATGATCCAGCAGTCACTGTGCTGTGGCTGAGGCCACCTTGCTGAACACAGCCACCCTGCTGCAGCAACCACACTGCAGCTGGAACATCTTGCTACAGCTACGGTCACCACGCAGAGCCAGAGCAACCTGTGCTGCTGGAGCAGAGGTGCCGTGACTCCAAGCACAAACAGAGAGTAAATAGTGATGGAGATGGAGCTCCCACTTTGCTTGAGTGGGAAGGGAGGCAACCAGAGCTGTGGGAGAGGAAGAGGCCCAGAACCATCCCGTTCCCAGAGAAGACAAAAGAGAGAAAGGACAAGAAGCTTACAGAGGGAAACCCTTAATTATTACAAAGGGAGTTTCCCCCAGAGCTCCAGGACCTGGCTCCTTAGCTTTTTTAGCACCGTGACGATGATCCTGGTTCCATAGATACCGATACCATGACAACTCTGACATCATCTCTGCTTCGGACAGGAACTGCAGGGAAGGCGCAGGGAGCAGCACGCATGCACGGCTGGCACTCAGCAGGCCTGCAGGCAAAGCTGGGGGCTGCAGGGGCTCCATCACCACCTCCCTCAGACCTGTGCAGCTCGCTGTCCCTGCAGGGGGACCTGTGCTGTTGCTGCTGGATCACATGGGGTATGGGTGGAGCAGGAGTGCTAATCCCTTATTGCACAAAATACTGCAAAAAGC